CTAGTTTAAAAAGACATCATCCACTGATACTATACCTCATAAATGAAGTCAAATACAAATTATATTTTAGAGAAATAAAATACTCCTGACACAGTTGTAAAAATAGCAACCTCTATTCAAAACTAAAGATACAGTATGCACAACAACGCTAGTGGATTTAATGATGCAGTAAAGACAATCTGGTGTATCATTTAGAAATTAATTCTGCATACGTAGACAATCTAAGGCTGAAGCATGAGGTACCTTTCCTTGTTTGAAGTGACATTGGGGTTATAAGCAGTAATTACTTAATTTGTTTATAATAGGTTTGATTATTCCAAGTTTTATCATGTAATTAATGGTGTCTACATCAATTATATTTTAATTGTCATTCTTAGCTCAAAGTAATATGTCTATTTTCTTGAATTTGGCACTAGTTCAAACAGTCCTTGAAGAATCTGTCTTCCACACCCTTCAGAATCTCCCTTCCTTGAGGAAATCCTCTCTCTGAAATTTGCTTTTCATTTCCTGTTTTCCAAATAATACAAGACCAGGTTCAGCATACTGACTACCAGAATGTGGTCTGAAGACAGTGTTGAGGCCATTCGGCATCTTGCAAGATCACAAACACCAACTCTTGTGTTATAACTAGCACTGCTGGTTTCAGTGTGTTAATCAAAATTTACACTGCAGTCTGAAAAATTGGGTGGTAAGGCTTTATGAGCATTTGTTATCCATTTTCTCTACTTTTCAACTTGGTTAATGTAATGTCTGCAAATCACTATACAAATGAAGAAGCATACAAATGCTTCTTCATCTGCCAAAACTGCTGTGGTAAATCTGGTGGTTGGGTATCTTTTCCCCTACTGCTTTCTAGACAAGGTGAGATGGGACACAGCCTGAGATAAGCACAACTCTCAGATCCCCACTTAGTTTGGCTAGAGCAGGTTGCCTTTGTGGTTGAAGACATTTATTGACAGATAACTCATAAACTGATTTTCCTCCCGTGAACTTACTTGTGAACGTACACTTACTGTATTCATAGACTGAATTTGAAGTGCTTAACTTGAAAGGGAAAAGCTACTGAAATCAAAGCAGAGATGAAGTTTTCAAAACTTGCTGCTTTTACTTGGCTTACAGAATTCCTACTGAAGCCATGAAGTAGATTTGGTCTGATTTTCATGTGGGAGCTGACAAAACAACACATTTTTGAAAACAGGTTACACTTATTTAGGAACCTATCTATATTTAGACTGCTGTTTTTGAAACCGTGTGTGATATTTTTATTCCAGCTGTGGCGAACTTCAAACTCAATCAGTCTTTTGATGAATTTTGGCTCATAATGACCAGTCACAGAGGGAAAGGCAGCTTCTCATATGACAATGATAATCTGGCATTGCTCTTGCATTATGTCTGACTGAATCCCTCTCACAAGAGGATCAGGTCAATTCAACAGAAAAGGCTTTAATTTGCCTTTTCAGAGAAAGAAGTTAGATTGTAGCTGATTTTTTGTGATTTTTTTTTTTTGTTTGTTTCCAGTAATATTTTCAATGTTTTATTTTCCCTATCTATTGCAAACAGCCTTGTGATTACGTTGCTAGAGTTTGTTTTGTCCAACCAGTCCCTAGTTTGGAGGAAAATGTTTACATAGACAGACTTCATCACTGCATCAGAAGAAAATCCTTCCACTTCTGCAACCCTGGTGATGGTCAATGCACATGTACTGCATTTTTTTTTATTATTTTTTATTTTTATTTTTGGCTTACAGAGGATGGTATGGCATGAAGCCATCACTAGTGTTTTGAGAATTCTGAGAATTCAAGAGGAGGAAATGAAGCAGGGCTGTTTGTTTAGACCTACTCCTGGCATACAGGGGTGTACTTGGCTGGCAGCCCCACAGCTGCCTATCCCCCTGAGCCACCCACTTCCCTGTGGCTGCTGGATCCCTCACCACAGAGTGGGGATTCAGGGTGCTCTCTCATCATCCTTCCTCCAGCTCATTCCCTCATGACTTTGGATACCCACTCCCCAAAACAGATTTTTTCACCATATGTGAGAAGCTGATTGATTGACTTTCTTTGGTGAAAGGGGACTGCTCTTAACTAGGCAAAATGTTGAGCAAGATCTTAATCCTGCTTTTGGGGAAAGGGCTTTGTGTGTGCATTTTTCAATGTGTAAATTCAATTGATCCAGTAGTCTTGGAAGCCTTCTGATAAACTGTATCTTCCTCCTTCATTTTTGTTACACGGACTTATTTTGCTCCTAGTCACTGTTTTGAACTCTATAACAATCTTTCCACAAAATTGAGACATTTAAGAAACAATTATATTGGCTCATTACATTTTCAGTCCTTTATTCTTTAATTCTGGTGCTAATAAACACCAAAATTTATATCCCTCCTGCCAAACACTGCATGCCTTCAGGCACTGGTGTAGTTTATATTCACATCATCTTTAAATCATGGTAAGTAGACCGCATATTGCCTGTTAGGTGAAGTCTAATGAGTAGTGTTATTTTTAGAAGCAGAACTATATCCTTTGATTTCTATTGTATTTTTTTTTTATTGCTGGAATAATTTTTGTTTGTCTTGTACTGTGCAGCTGCATATCAAGCTGAATGCTTTGGGGATTTGTTATTCTGTTCAACAAAGCCTAATATGCTTTCCTGGTCAGTATGTGACTGCACCTGGATCATCTACTGCATCTCTAATGCCTGTAACAGATACTTCCTGTTTTGGGATTCTTTCCATTGTTCTCTGCTTTGAACTTGACTTGCCTTCTTTCGACAAGATGTTTAAATGATTGAAGACTTAGACACCCATTTCTGTATAGTGACCCATGTTCTTCCTCTAGTGTATGTCATGTACAAACACGGAGGTTTGCAGGAGCCTTGTCATATTGTATGATTGAATCTTATTTTTAAACACAATCTGCATCAGTGAAACAAAATTACTTTTTAAACACATGAGGCTAAAAGGGTGCAAAGCCTTGGTGGATTCAGATAAATTATTTTACAATGATTTCTTCTTGATTTAATTTAATTAATTAACTACACATAAGTGTGATTACAAGTGCTTTGGAGTAATTGCTGTCTCTTCCTAAGTGTTTTTACAGAACCTAAAACAATGAAACCAGTCCTATGAATAGTAATAAATTTAAGGAAAAAGGTTCAATTGTGTATTTTAATAAAATGCATATGTTATGTTGTTTACCTTTTGCCTTGACTATAAAGAGTATAAATGCTTAAATAAATCAAAAGAGCAGATACTGTTATATATAACACACTAACTTAAAACTCCAAGCTGAAAAACTTAATATGTTGCTGTGTTCCCATAGCAATAAAAATAAGAGCCTAAAAATCTAAGTTGCTGATTATTCTCAATCTCACTTAATGTTAATTTAGTAAATAAGTATGTGTATAACATTAGAGAAGAGTCTTGCTGTGAAGTTAAGTCTTGAAATGCTGTTCAGATGAGCTTTTGCTAGCTCTTATTAAAAGAGGAAGAAAAAGATAAAATGAGATGGAATACTTGCAAAGAAAGAAAGTGTTTAGTTGATGAAAATGTCAGAATTAAAAAGGGAGACTATAGAAATGTGATAAGTTGAAACCACAAACAGAATTAAAATTTCTCTAGATGTAATCACACAAACGAATTCTGACAGAGGAATGCAAATTATTGAGAATATATAATGAGTTATGAGTGGTCAAGACTAAAATGTTTCATTTTTCCACAAATTGAATTCTCCCCAGTGCAGAGGTAAAAATGCATTTAAGGGCCATGATCTGAGTCTCCCTCCCTCCCTCCTTCTTCCCTCCTTTTCCTTTTCATACAGCTGTGAGGGACTTAAGTGGAATGTATTCTTAGATCTAGTATTCTTAAATCTGCATCCATGCAGATGACTTTGTCACACTATATTTAATTTATAAAACTTGACAGAGTTGTGAAAAGTGAAAGAATGGAGTTGTGTTTGTTCAGGCTAAACATACCTAATAAAACACTGGCTTCACTTTTTGATTAGATGCTTCTAATCAAAAGTTCAGTGGAGTGGAGTGAAATACATAGATAAATGGTTGCGTCAAAGATATTTAAGAGAGTTTTGGAGTCTGTTTGGACCATTAAAAGTTAAAAATATATTTCAAACTGAACATCTGTACACATACAATTACTTTTTTTTTTTTTTTTTTTTTTTTTTTTTTACTTTCCTTTGATGTATACACCAAGAAAATCTTCAGAGATGGGGAAAGGAAACCAAGAATGAAATTTGTTCCAAGTCTAAAGATATTGTTCAAAGCTGAAGAGAACCAATGAATGCCGAACATTTTTCATGTGACTCTTGATGTATGTGGCCATTTACTATTAGAAATTACACTGTCAACCTGTTTCAAGTTTCAAATTCACCTTTTATGTTTTTATAAAAGAAAAATTCCACATGCTTCTAGGAAATATTAATAACTAAACTAACCAAATTGGTATTGTTGAGCATATAATATCTCTTAAAAAAAAAAAAAAAGTCTGGTTATGTGTAAATGGCAGTTGTTGCTTTTTTTGGGATCAATGAGCTTGTCATGAGTACTTCATTTTGTGCTCAGCAATGCATTCTTTGCTCAGCAATATGATTAGCTTTGCCTGCCCTGGGGAGCAGAACATATGAGATAATTCCATTGTTTTATTAAATTATATTCATCGTATGCAAATGTATCACACCACAATTTCAAACTTTTCCATGTTAACTGTTGTTACAACACAGGGAATGCCCCCTTCTTTATGACAAGCTGGGTGACACATTTTATATCTCACTTTCAACACCTCTCTAATAGGATATTAAAACAACCAACCAACCAACCAAAAAACAAAACAAAACAAAACAAAAACAATGAACACAGCATACACATGGTTGTCTCCTGGGGTAATTTATCATTAAAAGGAAGATAAAAATTTTTCAAATTTACAATTTTTCAGTTCAACCAAATGGTAACTTTCACCACACATTTTCATTCATGTCTACCTTTGTTCTCTGCAGAGTTGTGACCCCAGCCAGAACCTGACAGAGCTATGTACAGAAAGCAATAAAGAGACAACATGGATGACCCAGGCAGTGGTGAGCAACAGGTTTACCTGCACAGATTATCCCTTCTCACTCATGCATATGATTGTCTTAAATCACATTAAAGATTTCATTTCCCCTTCAGCCTTTGCTCAGATTCTCACTTGCACTGTGACCCAGCATCTAAGGTACTACGTGTTTAGTCATGTATTGGTAATAAGAATACCATGCTTATCACATTTCATGATGGATTTATGGCATAACATAGTGTCTGGGGACACTTGCTTGCTAAATCAGATTGTAGGTAATGCTAACTCATGAAAGCAGGAATTGAAAACTCTATTTTGCAAAAGACTGAGATGGGAGTGCAAAGAGTGACCCTCAAACACAACATATAAAACCTGACATATTGATGCTCTCTTTTGTATTTGCTTAGTAACTGGCCTATTTCGTTAGGCCTAATATTATATTTTTGTAAATACACATATTTCAGGTAAAGGGAATCATGAAACCATCGGCTTGTGGAACCTTATTGCACCCCGGTAAAGCAGAGGGAATGTGAATGTGAATGAGTTAGTCATGAAACTGCTAGGGCAGGAATCAGATGCTCCAGCTCATTGCAGAGACAAATGCTTCTGACAACGTTTAGCTGATGCAGACCGTCAGTTCTGAAAGACCAGGGTTTTCAAAACACTGAGCTAGCTGAAGCATCAGCTAAGGAAATTTTTCCAAGCACACCTTGAATATACAGACCCTGTGACATAACTAACAGCACCAATACCGTTTACAGGGACTGTGCTGTAAAACAGTTCTAACACAGTAAAGCGTGAAATGTATGTGTCAAGTTTATTATGCTTCTCTTGCCTCAGGCTGATTAGTGCAAATTAATATTTCACACTAATCAGCTTGAGCAGTTAGCACACAATTTGGATTTACGGAATTCAGCTGATTGCATTAAAAATGTATTTAGGCTATTTTTGTATTGTGCAAATAGAGCAAAAATACCTGAACTGCTTCCAGCAATATATATATATATACACATATATTAGTTCTACATGTTAATGTCACCCTTCATATAGTAATATACTGTTGACATAGTAGTGGCTTAATGGATATCGATACTTACAATATCTAAATTTCATACTGTTCAAGTGAAAACCTAACTTCACACTGATTTATTATTTTTTTAATAGGCAATGACTAGTCAAATTTTAAGCCATTTAAGAAAACATATTTTAAACATACTTTAAAAACATGTAAATGAGTAATATATCTGGAATATGATCCTAAAACTACTTAAAAAACTGGCTTCTTGGGGAAAATAGTTATAATGGGTTATTATAGAAATAAAGTGGTTTATTATAGAAATAAAACAGTATATTCATTTAGCTGTATCAGACAAATCTTACATCAGTTTCCTACTGCTGTGAAGAAACAAGAGTGATTACTTGCAACACTAAAAGTTAAATGTAAAAGCCACCTGTTTGCTCAGGCTTTTGCAAATCTGCTGTCTGTTATTCTCATGGATCTTTTCAAAAAATGAGCAAACAAAGCCTCATGCAGATGTCCCCATCAAATTTTTGAGACCATATAACCCAGTACAATTTCTGGCAACTTTACTAATGAAGTTCTCACTGACTTCTGTGGAAGCTGGCTCAGGTGAATTTTCAGAACTTAATTTAGCTCATAGCTCTTGCAGTTGTCTAGAAAATCTTTGCAACATTGATTTCAAACACCAATTGGATGGCAAAGGAACTGCTAGGTCAATTTTTTAGATACTGTATTGGCTTTCCAACAAGAAGACATCTGAGTACTTTGCACTAATTACACACACACACAAATATTACTCAAAATTAACTGACTTCTGCAAATTAAACTCAACATTTCCTTGCACCAGTCTCCCATCATGACTATGGCAAATTATGTCTGTGTACCAAGAAGATACATTGTCTTCTGTAGAAAACAACAGTGAGTCCATGTTTTATACTTTACCAGACTCCAAAGCTGTTTTCTTCCTTCATCTGAAATTGAGATTAATGGAATAGCTCTGGGTTCATAGTGGCATAGCCAAGAATAGAACCCAAGTCTTAGTTAATGTGGTTACACACATTGATCCCCCAATATTTGGAGCAGAACTTCCGTGTTTGGTGTTATTGCTGAGATATCCTCAGGAAACAAAGTCTTCTGAAGTTTGTCTAAGGCCAGTATCTCCCACAAGCCATAAAAATGTACTGTGTGAAGGTGTTCTTAAATCTAGACATCAGACTTTCTTCTTTGTTTTTACTTTTGGTTACGAGAACCACTTCCTAATATCTTCTTGTTTGAGTGCAAAAACCTCAAGACAGTAAATGGAGGATTATATAAATGAACAATTATAGCTCTGTTTCTTTAGACAAATAAAAGACGTCTGTATTGAGTTGGTTGGATGCCAACCCAGAATCCTGCAGGTCTCCTCCCCTAATCTGGATAGCTATTTTATATTGTGAAATGGCCTTGAGCCATCTGCATCTCAGTATGAGGTCTGCTTTGTACCACAAAAATCAAATAAATATATTTCATCACCTAATAGTTATTCATAATGCACATTCTACCATTATCATTTAAATAAAGTCACTTCAATTTTCTTATTTGCTTATCCAAATCCACCATTACTATTCCTTCTGATTTGCTTAGTAATATATATATATATATATATATATATATATATATATAAAATTATGTAATTAGGCATGTCAGCACAATGAACATGTAATGTTCTTGCAAATACTATAATTGTGGCCCATTTGTCAACAAATGACAACTTTAATAAGAGGAGTGTGCAGATCATATAGAATGTCTACATGCTTCTTTAATAAGCAGATTGCAAAATTTACTGCCACAGTAAGATGTTTTAGGACTTCAGCACAAGGAGGAGAAAAGTTCAACCCTAACTGAAAACATATGGCCAGAAGAAAGAACCCAGCCCTCCACAGTATTAAGTCTTATTGCTGATTTAAATTTAAGCAAGTACATACAGTGAATTTTGCTAAATCTGGGAACCTGGTCTCATACATTGCCAGCAAACCCAATTAGTGCTGCTTGAGTTGAAATTTTGATAGGGTGATGTGTCTTCTCTGAAGCCAAACTGATTTAATAGTATTTGTGCTTTTTTTAGGACTGCTGACCTTTATCCAGCCATCATGAAAATCTTTGAAAGATTTCTGTGCTGTGTATGTATGTTAGTGAACAAGAGACAAGGTACTTTCCTGTGTATGGTGGGTCCTCCTCCATGCTTAGAAGAGTCAGGTATAGAGTGCAGTGGAGATAGTTTGATTCAAATTTTGGCTGAAGGTTTCTTGTTACGTACCTTAGGATTCTAATCCAGATGCTCATAGGCTCAACCATGGTTAAAATGGCAGGCTTGCAGAACATTTTCCTGTCAAAGTTTCTTAAGGTTTCCTGTTTAGAAAATCAGAATTTGAGCTCTCAGCAGAGAGTAGAAGAATTAGACAGCCATGCCTCTTTGTTTTCCCAAGAAAGCAACACCCACTTTCTTTAGGTGCTTTTGAAAACTCTAGTATAATTTATTAATCTCTAATTTTTTTATTGAAGCCTCTGTTGCAGCATGGTAAAAATAACTTACAAAAGAAGAATATAAGCCATGAGATCCATGTTTTCAAATAGAAGGTAAAAGATAACAGCAGGCTACATCTTTAAAGGGAAGACAATGGATAATTCATTCTCTTTAAATAACAGTACTGTTGATGACCAGTTAAACAGATAATAGAATAGAAATGTGTATACATAAAGAAGTATCTATCATTTAACTTTAGCACAGTTAGAGTAAAAAAAGGTTAAATTGTATTGATTAATCTATTCATTCATTCATTCATACATTTTTAACAAATGGGATAAAGTATCTCAAAACCACTAACATTCCTTATCTTTCTCTGGGTTGCATTGCTTGCTCATCTCAAGTGCTTGAGTCCCTGTTATTTAGACAACTGTTGGAGAATTTTCTAGCTTTAAATATATAACAGCACTTTAGACGTTGTGAAAGTTGAACTGTGCTGTAAAACTCATTCTGTGTTAATTCATCCCTGTGTAACTGAATAAGTAAAAGAAAACAGTGTGGAGCCCTCAGGGTCCAATGGAGTGGATGCTGGCAGACCCATCTGGTTACTGCAGGAAGGGGCACTGGAATCCTTAAGTAAAGTCACTTTGATTGTGGTTGTGCCATCGATACCATGCAGATGGTGGCCCAGAATTAATGTGATGACTCCCAAAGCTAAAAGCTTATGCTGTTCAACCATTTGAACAGGATCCTGAAAGGTCAGGGTGACAAATACATACATCACATGTGTGAGCTGTAGGCAGTTCCCTTCCAAGTGCATTTTCTGCAAATACATGAATTGTATTTCTTTTCACCTGGAAACAAAGATGCCATGCGTATGCCTAGTCTTCTGAGCATCATGATAAATAGTTTCAAAGCAGATGTACTTAATGGCCAGGTGTACAATCTTGCATGCTAAGTCTGCATGGAAAAAGAGGTAAGCATGTGGCAGCTCTGGATAGGTATCCTATTAATGTAGAAAACATGAATCACATATATAAAGCCCCAGCCTGAAGGCTTATGAGTGATGTATTCAAATCAAGCTACAGAACCTAGGGTCAGAAGATTTACACTTTCATAAGCTTCTACAGGAAGCAAAACAGATCCCTAGACAGAGGTGCCAAAAAACACTGCATGATTTATCCAAATTATCCATTTCTCATTGCAGGCAAGTCACGAACAACCTATAGAATACACTCAAGCAACACTTAATCTATGACTTGTGATTTATTCAGCACTTCCTGAAAATCAGAAGCCTCAGAGAAATTTCTAAATGAACTCAGGATGCTGAGACCTCCAAAATCACTAAACGCTCAAAAAAATCACAACTAAATTAAAAAAAAAAAAAAAAAGTTAAGAAACAACTAATACAGTTAGGAAACAACAGTTGAATCAGAATTATTTATAGAGAGAAAATAGTCTAATTGTTAGTAAGTGTGAGGGTCACCTTCAGTCAGTGGAA